TTTAGGAACTAGAGGAAAGTTGTATTTCTCATCATTGTTACATCGCACCCTGACTGGCTCAGTTCGTTCTTCTAACAGGAGTCCATGGTACACAATGTTCTTTGCCAGCACGGTCATTCAAAGACCTCCTTTCTTCTTCAGTTTTCCTTATCGAACGAGGTCTTGTACAGAAGATTTGCCCCATAGAATACAATGTTTGATTCCTTAACAGACGCTTTCATGGATGCTGATTACAGATCCAAGTAAAATGATATATTTGACAACATCCATCTTTTTCTCCATTTGCCATTGGTGTTGATGATTGGTCTGGCATGAAGATTTCTGTCTTCTCTGTGTTGAGTTGTAATCCATACAGACGCCTGTAGTCTTTGATCTCCATCCAGAAGTGTTTCAAGTCCTCGGCATTTAGCAAGCAAGGTTATGCCGTTTGCATGTCACAGTGTTCATGACTCTTCCTCCAGATCCCAGCGCCATGTTCTCCTCGGTGTGGTCCAGTTTCCTGGGTTATTTGCTCAGCCTACAGACTGAATTAACATAGTAAAAGGACACAAGCTACAGAACAACTCAAGAAGTCCTGCAAGAGGTTGGAATAGTTTCCTGACTCTGGTCACGTTGTTACCGTACCTTAGTTTCCTAGTGCTGCTATCACCGAGAAGCCACAAATAGGTCGTTTTAACAGTCAGAAATTAATTTTCTTCCACCAGCTGCAGGGAAAAGCTCTCTTGTTCACACTGGGGGGGCGGGGAATCTTGTCTCATTTTCTCTAACATTCTTCTTGACATTACATTATGATCTCCACCAGAAATGTATGAGAGTGATTTTTTTAAAATATTGCTATAAAATCATAGATGCTATTATTAAGCAAAGTATAAAAATCTGAAGCTAACATTTGTCGACATCATCCTCTTATCTAGGTTTATACACTTGTGAAGTAGGTGTTCCCATCTCCCTTCCCTGGAAAAGTCTGCACTCTTATTTACACCACTTCGAACCAGCGTTTGGGGAACAAAAAGAATTGTGAAGGGGCAAGATCAGAATGAGGTGGTACATTTGTTGTGATGGAAAACACGCCTCATGCAATTTTGCTGGTCTTGTTCCCAACGTTTGTTTTTGATTTTCTGAAAAATCTTTATTATGAATTCTGTGATCATGCCATGTCCTTCATGGAAATCTATCGAGATTACCCCTTGGGAATTTAAAACAAAAACAAACAACAGTCATTATAACCTCCTGAGTTGGCCTCTCTGCCTCAAATTTAACTGGCCCGGCAGAACCCTTCTGTGCCACTAGTCTGATTGGACCTTTTCTCAAGTTTCAAAATTAAAACAAATGTATGATTGAGAAAACATGTCTCCAGCTGTCCTCAGATCAC